ACACTAATCAGTATCCAGCATTAGTATCTATTATTAGTATCTATTATTAGTATCTAAAATTACTATACTGCAAGTACTGTTATTACTGTTATTACATGTTACGCATCATTATCAATTTAGTTTTATTTTTTCCAAATATTATCCCTAACAGCGTAATCTAATGGGGTCTTCAGCCCAGAATAGCTCCGGTGTGCACTGGTGCAGGCGCCGGGTCGGGTTCAACGAGGTTCCGGAGAAGGTTCCGAAGGTTCCGGAGAAGGTCTGGGAGGCTTTGGTGCAACAGGGTTCCGGAGAAGGTTCCAAAGGTTCCGGAGAAGGTCTGGGAGGCTTTGGCTTTGGTGCAAAGCCAGGTCAGGTTCAACAGGGTTCCGGAGGAGGTTCCGGAGGAGGTTCCGGAGGAGGTTCCGGAGAAGGTGTGGGAGGCTTTGGTGCAGAGCCAGGTTAGGTTCAGCAGGGTTCCGGAGAAGGTTCCGGAGAAGGTTCCGGAGAAGGTTCCGGAGAACGTGTGGAGGCTTTGGAGAGCCAGGTTTGGTTCAACAGGAGAGAAGGTTCCGGAGAAGGTTCCCGAGAAGGTTCCGGGAGGCTTTGGTGCAAAGCCAGGTCAGGTTCAACAGGATTTGTGATTTGTGGTCATTTAACTCACGGAAACTTGTAAAAATAAAACGTTGCGGCTGTGGGGATACCACCGAAGCTTATCACGTAATATTACAAGTATATATTGGTGCTATTATTGCCGTTCAGTGGTCTTACTATTACGGATTATTACTGGTATGGTGATTGTTATGCCGTACCAAGATTAGCATGTATTACAATTATAAGTATTATTGTTGCTCATCACCATTGTTACGTTTGTAATTATTCAGACTATTACGCGTTGTCAGTGTTACTGTTGATGTTACTATAATTACGCATTTCTATTATTGTTATTGTTGTTATATGCATATACTATTAGTGTTATTGTTCTGACTAGTAATTACATATTGTTATTCACTGTCGTTGGCACTGGGTATTATTAGTAGTGTGTAATTGTCATGAGAATGTAACATTATATCTATTATATTTATTCATTATTGATATTGCTATCATTATTTTGTACTATCACTACATTGTTATTGTTGTTATTGCTACACCAACATGAACTGAGTTGTAATGGGGGGAAGGGATCAGACTACCAACAGGATTTGGTATGGCCAACTCCTGCTGCTGGACCGTCTTCGATATCCAATGGGAAGGGATTTATTTAGGGATTTTTATTTTCGGGTGAGTTTTTTTTTCGTCCTTTTTGCTACACCTTCCATTGCTTTCTGCTTTTGGGTGCCGTTGAGGGATTTTTTTCGCTTTAATTTTTCTGCTGCAATTCTTTTTCTTTGCTTCTCTGCTTGTTTGCTTTTTTGTTTTTTTGCTTCTCTGCTTTTTTGCTTTTCTGCTTTTTTGTTTCTTTGTTTTTTTCTTTTTTAGTTCTTCTGCTTCTTCTGCTTCTTCTGCTTTTCTGCTTCTTTGCCTCTTTGCTTCTTTGCTTCTCTGCTTTTCTGCTTCTTTGCTTCTCTGCTTCTCTACTTCTCTGCTTTTCCGCTTCTTTGCTTCTCTGCTTCTCCGTTTTTTCTTCGCTTTTCTGCTTTTTGCTGATTCTTTGCTTCTCGGCTTGTCTGCTTTCGTTTCTTTGGTGTTTGTTTTATTTCTCCACTAAGGATTGCCATTATGAGATGGATGATCATAAACTATATACATTTATATACCATGTTTTGACCCTAGCACATATGGTCCTGGTTCTTTAACCCTTGTATATACATCTTTAACGTTGTTGGCCTCTTTGTTTCTTTCCCGTTCTTCGCCTGCGCTTGGATGCTTCTCTCCTTTCTGCTTGGGTGCTACCATGCGATGTGCTCGTCTCTCTTCCTCTGTGTAGTCTCTGGATGAGATTGCCTGAGTTTCTTGCTCTTCTCTTCCCTTCCCTTCCCTTCTCTTCCCTTCCCTTCCCTTCTCTTCTCTTCTTTTCTCTTCTCTTCTCTTCTCTTCTCTCTTCTCGTCTCGTATCGTCTCGTCTCGTCTCGTCTCGTCTCTTCACTTCACTTCACTTCACTTCACTTCACTTCACTTCACTTCACGACAACAACAGAAACCACAACCACAGCAACAATAACAATAACAACAACAACAACAACAACAACAACAACAACAGCATCGGCGTCGGCGTCAGCGTCAGCATCATCTATAACCGATAACCTTCAAACCCCTTACCCCCCACCCCCCCACACCTAAGCCCCGGAATGACAACGACAACGACAATAAGGACAAGAAAAGCAAGAAGAACAATACCAACAAAACCAACAACAACTACAACAACTACAACACCTTCAACACCTTCAACACTTTCAACACCTTTATGCACCTTTAACACTTTCAACACCTTTAACATGTTCAACACCTTCAAACCCGTCACCCCCCAACCTCCCACACCTAAACGCCTAACCCCTCCCACCCTTACCCAACAGGCATAAAAACTGCGAAATCGTGCGAATACCACGTGAAAACCAAGGTTATAACTTCTAAATGCTGCAAATATAAGGGAACAGGAATCCGGAAAAAAACAATAATTTTCCACCCATATCCAATTGTCTTCAATTGTCTTGCATTTTTCCTTGAAACCAACTAAGCCAACTTCCGACTTCCTCCAACCCAAACTGAAAAGAAATCAACTGACACTCCCTGAAATCAACTCGGTTTGATGTTGATCTTGTTGGTTTACAATGATCACTTGGTAACGCTGCTAATCTGCCACCATGCCGCGGCCAGGAATGGTTCGAAAAAGCCACCAGCGCTGGAGTGAAACCCAATGTGTGGCTGCCAAAGTCAAAGGCGACAGTTCTGGGTAAACCGAGCGGTGAATGGAGGTATAATGGAGGTAAACATGTGGGTTTGTCCGAGAATAGGGTACAGTACCCAAAAATACCATAGTGTATCATCATTTTCTCTAGTATAGTTTATCATCGTTTTCCCTAGTAAATGATAGTATATGGCTATAAATTATAGTGGGGGATATACCACATTTTGAGACACATACATGTATCATTTTTGGCACCGGGGAACGACGTTTTCAGATGATGACTTCCAGTTGACCATGATCTTAGTCGAAGAGCTTGGTGAAGTGGCTGTTCTGGGGTTGTCAGAGAATGTGGTAGCCCTGGAAATCCAAACATCATGGTTTCCTATATTTTCCTATGAAAATTGCAAGTTTTTTTTCCCCGCTCCATGGTGAAAATCATGGTAAAAAGCCAGCACTCACAGCCCCTTCGCCAAGGTCTACACTTACAAGTACCTGATTCAGGCAGGGGTACCCTTGGAAATTGCAGGGGTCAAAATTGGACACTCAAGTTGGGAAGCAAGATTGGTGATCCCGTGCACTCGTAATTTTTGAATCTCCCAAACCGCCCCAAAGCTGTGAGATGTTCAAGACTATTCAAGACCATAATTTATAGTGATATATAATATTACAGTATATAAGATGTCCCCACTTGAACTTTGAAATGTGGGACTCAAAGTTTTGCAGCTGTACCGTTGCAGCTGAATATTTCTAGACCATACCAGGTACTGTTGGATCATTTCTGGATCCATATGCCATATTATTCTGGTTGGTGCTTTGGAACCATGGAATTTTATGACTTTCCATAATATCCTGGGAATGTCATCTCATCCCAACTGACGAACTCACTCCATCATTTTTCATAGGGGTAGGTCAACCACCAACCAGGATAATTATTAACCATCATTAACCATATAGTAGCCATATATTAACCATTATTAACGGTATATTGCCAACCAATGGTAGGTCAACCACCAACCAGTTATGCCACAACGTTGGATCTGTTGCTTCACATCCTGATGATCCGACGTCAAGTCGCCTAAGGCCGCGAGCGTTGAGGAGAGAGACCCCGAGAAATGGTTCCTGGGCCCAGCCGGGCTCAGCCGGGCTCAGCCAGCTGGGATTGATCTCTATGATTAGTCACTAATTATGATGGGACAACATACTAATTATGGTTGAAAATTTGTTTTTTGGAAAACAGTATGTTGACCATTGATTTTGCTGCGACTATAGTGACTATGTATTATATATATATGTATATTGACTTATGATGGATAGGCACATGAGTCAATCATGGTCACATGACATGTCACGATTTCTTTGAATTCTGCGGCTATGCGGCTACCAAAGTTGGCACTAGCTGTTCATGTGTTCAGGGATGGTTATACCGCTTTGAATAGGGGGTTGTATGCGGAATCTATTTGGATGTAGATAGCCAGCACTACGTATCGATGTCCTTGGATAGAAATTGGATGAAGTTGGAGCCAAAAGAGAGGGAAGTCCAAAACTCCAAGGTGGAGCTTCCAAGACCTAGCACTTGATCTTTTAGGATTTGTTTTGACAGGATACTGAGCTTTGTTTAAAGAACACTATATATATAATTACTGTTCGGTGGTTTGGATCATTTTTTATTTTTCCATATATTGGGAATGTCATCATCCCAACTGACTTTCACTCCATCATTTTTCAGAGGGGTAGGTCAACCACTAACCAGTATTAATATATATATAAGAGCATCATCCCGTTTCGGGATACCCAGGTTAGATGTTTCAGAAATATCTGATACCAAGGCACCATTTGATGACTTTTGGGCTAACTCTTTCGTACAGCGGTATCTCCAAGTACGGGTCTCACCACGGAATGAATGAATGCACATCCATAAATCCATCATGATATTAGTACAGCAATAGGATCCACCATCCCCAATGACTTACCATATTTTTATGGGTGGTTTCTCAGCCATCAATATATTTTATGGGTGGTTTATGACATGGCAAGGTTCAGACGCTTGCTTGCTGCTGGTATCGCTCCAGCCCTGGGGCCCAAGATTTTGCAGGACATCAGAGAGGAATTCAGAGGCAGAGAGGGGATGAGTTGCTGGGATTTTGCATGATATCAATGGATGTTTGATGATTTTTAAGACCCACAAGAGTCCACTGCTTCATCATCATCATCAACAGCATCATCATCATCATCAACAGCATCATCATCATCATCATCACCACCATCATATTCATCATCATCACCATTACCAATATCATCGCCACCATCACAATCATCATCACCACCATCACCACCATCATCATCATCACCACCGTCATCATCACCATCATCATCATCAACAACATCATCATCAACAACATCATCATCATCACCATCATCATATTCATCATCATCACCATTACCAATATCATATCATCACCACCATCGTCATCATCATCATCATCATCATCATCACCATCACTATTATCATCACCATCACCATCAGCATCATCAACAACAACATCATCATCATCATCGTCAACAACATCACCATGATCACCATCATCACCATCATCACCATCATCATCATCAGCATCATTATCATCATCATTACCACCATCACCATCACCATCATCACCATCATCATCATCATCATCATCACCATCATCGCCATCACCATCGTCATCATCAGCATCACCATCACCATCATCATCATCAGCATCGCAGCATCACAATCATCATCACCATCATCATCACTAACATCATCATCATCAACAACATTATCATCACCATCATCATCATCATCAACATCATCGTCATCATCACCATCATCATCATCATCATCACCATCATCATCATCAGCATCGCAGCATCACAATCATCATCACCATCATCATCACTAACATCATCATCATCAACAACATTATCATCACCATCATCATCATCATCATCAACATCATCGTCATCATCACCATCATCATCCAACATCATCATCACCATCATCATCATCATCATCACCATCATCATCATCACCATCTTTTTCTTAGCACCAATACCACCATCATCATCAACATCATCATCATCACCATCACCACCATCACCAACATCATCATCATCAACATCATCATCATCATTACCATCATCATCATCATCATCATCATCATCATCATCATCATCATCATCATCAAATTCGCCATCATCATCATCATTATCATCATCAACAACATGACCATCATCATCGTCGTCGTCGTCGTCATCGTCATTGTCATCGTCATCATCATCCTCCTCATCCTCATCCACATCCTATAGCACAACTGTTTTTTTCGGGCCATACATTGAAGAAACAAAACCTTATATAATTTCGGGACATCCACAAAGGACCAACCTTAGAGATGGTATTCCAAATTCAGTGTTTCACGAAAGCAGGCCGCTATCAACATATGTTCCATGATCAAAACAGTTTTTCCCCCACAAAAGGGGATAGTCATCATTTCATTTTCATGGGGATAAACATACTCATCATACGGCCTCCCATTCATGATGGGATGACCATACCGTATGAACTCCATGTAACTTGACCATGACGCATATATCAAGGTCCAGAAAAGCACCCGTTGCTGATGTCGTGCTAAACCATGGGATCTTGGAGTTCTTCATTAGATATCTCCTGCGAAACATCACTATCTCTAAGTGAAGTGGTCCAAAGTTATCCCAAAAAGACCACTCAACTACCCTTCTAGTGCGATTCTAATTTGGGTATTAACCATCCCATCGTTTGGAGTCAATTTTGATCCACGTTACCATGGTCGGGCTGAGGATGTGGTGACCTTCAACACTCTCATCAACGCGGCAGCCAAGAAGGCAGCCGGTTTCATTGTGGATTGACGTCTTTGAATGTCTTTGACACTCGCCAAAGCACCATTCCTTGAATCACAAGTACTGAAAAAGGCCTTGTATGGAGGAATGTCACACATATATATATATAATTTAATATATATATATACATGTATACATATACACAGGTATACATGTATACATGTATACATGTATACATGTATATACATGCATACATGCATACATGCATACATACATGCATACATACATACATACATACATACATACATACGTATACAATCACATATGTATACAATCACATACATGCACATACATATGATGATATTCTGCTGACCATGAGTTTATTTGCAGGGACACAAGGTTAGCCACAATAAGAGGCCATGCTCCTACCGAACACCTGATTGACAGCCCGGGTAGTCGTCTCACCAGGAGAGTAGATCATTTCCAAGGGAAACCATCGATTTCCATCGCAATATTATATGTAATATATACAATATACATAAAATATAGAATTATATATATATAATATCCATATATGGGTCAATACATGTAGCTATAAGTTAGCAATCTTCGGAAATTACAACTTTCCCTCCTCTTCGCAGGGAAAGTTGTCGAATGCCGTTGATTGGTTTCACATGGCGCTATCGATGTCGGTTCGCCGGGGTGTCCCAGTCATCCCGCAATCGGGGGGTGTCCCAGTCATGTTTCCATAGTCATGGGGGATCCCCAAGCGGGCATTGGATGGTTTATTTCATGAAAAAATCGAAAAATCGATGCGTGAGACAAAATCTGGTAATTTGTAACAGAAAGCTATTGAGAATGGCCCATAGAAATATAGTTGATTTACCTATTACAGATGGTGATTTTCCATAGTCCTGTTAGCTTACCAGAGGGTAATCGTAATTTCACAACTTCAACAAAAAAACTACATGTGACCAAATTCCAGCCCAAATAGTCTTTGCAAAAGACAATATCATGGTGACAGGTATATGGCATATGTCTGAGCAACAGGTAATTACCCCCGTTTTTTTTGGACGGTTTCTCAGCATTTGCCATAAATCGGGGTACCCTCTGGTAATTTAACATAGCTATGGAAAATGGCCATTTATAGTGGATTTTCCCATTAAAAATGGTGGATCTTTCCATAGTTATGTAACAGTTTACCAGAGGGTAACCCATGTGGCATACAAACCCAGGGAGCAACCGGCGCAACCGGACCATTGTTTTTCGAGGTATGGGAGAGCCACTGGGAGCCACTGGGAACTTTCTGAGGTCCGGATATGTTGACTTACAACATGGTCTTGGCAGCTGCTGCGCAGGCCGCTGGAACAGGAAGATTTCGACCAAAAACACGTTAAAACATGTTGAAGATGTTGGGAAAGTCATGATTAACCGTTAAGGGATGGATACAGAATCAGCCATATCCTGCAGGATTTCAACGTAGTGGTGTAGTGGTGTAGATGACTAGTGGTCCGTTATGATGTTCCATGAATGGTTGATCACTTGTTCCAAACTGATCATTAGATGATGTTATGAAGGATTATATGATATACATCCATTCTAACATATCACAAGATGTTGAACACATCTATCACCCTATGTGACTCACTGCTGCAACCCTCTCCCCTTAAACTCCTGATAGGTTTCATATGAATCACACTGGCGGATCGCGGATCAGCTGGTTTGCTTTAAATAACTTTAATTTATTCCGACTTGAAATACGATCCGCCACGCAGGCTACGCGCAATGAAGATAATTGATCCGCAGCTGAGGATGATGTTTACAAGACGCCACACGAGAAACACTTTCTTCCTCCTAATGTGTGCATCAATATGCTATACATATATAATAATATATATATATATACTAGTATATATATATGTATCGAAATTATATATATATATATATATATATCAACAATATTATATATATATATAATATCGATATATAATATATACATATAGATCATAATCATAATATATCCATCATGTTCTTCACCTCGCAGGCTGGCGATGCACTCGCTGCGGAGCAGTGGTTCGATCGGATGTCCAAGGACCGATCGATCGGCTGGCGATGCAGCGGCCCATCCGCGGAGCGATCAGCTGTTGTGCCGTGGTTGTAGGTTAGATGGATTGAGTACATCCATCCATATATGATATATAGATGTATATAGCTAGATGTATTAGTATGCTACATATCATATAATATATATATAGATGTATACATACATATATATATATATATAGCCATATAGCCAAAATTTTATTATGGCCATCAATCCATGGCCATATATAGGGATATATATGTTTGGGCCCATGAAATCCCATGGAATGGGATGACCAAAGGATGCGTTTTTTTTCCACGTCGGAGCATTTTTGGCATTTCTTGTCGGCAATAAACATGATTAAGTAATATATATATATAATACATATACATATACAACTTATACAACATCAACATTATGCACACAATGGTCAAGAGTTCTGGTTAATTCATTGCTACTTGAATTTGTTCTTTTGCAAGTGTCACTCACACCCGCCACCTGAGCTTGGGGTGTTTGACAGTGGTGTCGCCAGACTCACATGCTTCGCGTCAAGAGTTGGTTCGTATATCCATCTTAAAAATGGTCGTCCAATCCATTTTCATAGGGATTTATATGTCCATTATGTTTGAATTCCCATTTTTTTGTATGGATGACCATAAACAAAAGGAGTCGGTCTTGACCCGAGAAAAGATCCTGTGATTTTCCGGATGTTCTGGCGAGGATGGCTTTGTGCCAGACATCGTCTCGTACAATTCCCTCATGAAGGCAGCAGGGATTTCGGGCTTTTTCGTTTTTCGGGGTGAACTGTTCGATGAACTAACTCCAACGAACTACCCCCGCTGAACTGCCCTAAGAATTCCACTGGAAAGTACAGAGTTGTTCAATAGTGACATGATGAAACATGTTAAAAATGTGTGACATTGAATTTGGGCGTTTGTAGCTACTGTACCTATCTGTACCTACCAGTGGTCCTTTTTTTTCAAAGCAATCGATGGTGGTAGTTCACCATCGATCCATTGAGAAGGATTTATATACCCCAGGAGTCACTTGAAGGTGGAGTTTTTTTTTAACACCATGATGACTGGGACATACTGGGACCATGATGCCATGGAAGGAAAATATGAGGCTCTGAGGGATGGGATTACTGAAGACCTGGGAACAACGACCAATTCGACCTTCGGGTTCCAGCAGATTCGATGGAATTAATCTAGATAGATGATAGATATAGAACGATATCGATTCATAGATAGACAAGTTCAAACATATTATTTGATTGATGAATACCTCTTAGCCTCTTAGACATAGTTTTTGGTACATTTCATGATGCATTGATATGTACAGCTACATTATATCATATATCCACATTCTACGTTGGAAAGCGATTTCCGCCCTGAGTATTGGAAATCTATGGACACAATGGTATCCTCGAGGCAGCTCGCCCCCATACCAAATAAGCCCCTCTTAATACTAGCTTTATAGCAGTTATCAACCCGCATCAACCCCCAAAGGTTGAACTTACATGGGCAGTTCGATAAAGATTTTTATTGCAGGGGGTTATACATACTACCCTTCAAATTACTTTGGGATTATCATAATCCATGACCTGGGAATCCTTTTCTTAACCAACCATTTTGGGGATTTTCCCCAACATAATCCTATTATAATCCCAATCAATCTCGATTGTAATCTCATGATAACTCCATTGTAGATCCAGCTTTTAGTTCCACGTGTTTAGCCATTCAGAAATCCAGGCGCTGATGAAAACCGCTCGCACACGAGATGTCGAGGAGAGCGAGGGTGAGAAGTACTTGGGACTCTGGAACCCTCGGGGTGATCGTGATGTTTTTGTGGCTTCAGGACGCAGGTCACGCATCGTTTTTGTGGCTGTGACACTGTGACTAGGTCAATCTTACATGGATATTGGAATATCCTTTAGTCTTTTGGTATTAATGGGAATATCTACGTTCACCAGCAAAGAATTTATTTTTTTGCAGGGTATCTGGCTGATTGGCAATGATAAGATACGCAAAGGGGTAGATTGATGGCTTCGTCATTGGGGCAAGGATCATACATGGCAAGCTGGGAAATCCCGAAAATCATCCACAAACATGGAAGATGGCTTCAAGCCATGCTTGGAGCCATTGGAGGTTATGCATGTTGTATTTATGTATTTATATGTTCTGTACATATTGTGTCTGTGTGTGTGTGTGTCTCTGTCACTGTCCCTCTCTCTCTCTCTCTCTCGTGGCATATACATACTATGTATAGATGTGATAGATATGTACAAGATTACGTCGTTATATGATGTTATATGTGTATGTATAACATTCCCACATTATATATGTATATATATATATGTATGTGCATATATATATATACATTATCTTTATATATATATATACAAACACACACGCACATGTAAACCCACCGTATGATAGAACGAAAGACATACGAATTAGATCACCCCCAATCCCGGGAAAAAATCATCCGTGCAAAAAATGACGTCGGGAAAAACTCGATGGACTCTGGAAATCTCTGGAATGCTTATGTGTATAATATATAGTATTATATATATGTACAAAGACACATACAATGTCATTGCACTGATATCTTCTCCAGAAATTGCAACAGCCAGTGTCTCCAGCCTGTTTTTTTTCTCTGTGCAATGACCATCCAAGTATTTCTTGAATGTAGCAATCCACAATCTTCCTCATTTTCGAAGCAGATTTGGCCCAAAACGTGGCTCCTAAATTTCTGGGTTGCAACAGGGGTACCATCTCTATTAAACGAATCATTTGGGACTGAACCTGGCAATTGAACACATTGGGAAAAAATTGCAGGCTCGCTCAAGTGGAACGAGCTACCTCAGCAACACCACGCTAGCTCAAACACATCGCTCTAGCTCGATGGCATCGAGCTGGCTCAATTATTTTGAACAAAAAGAACGAAAAAAAAAAACTCGAAAAAAATGAGCCAGCTACGTCACGTTGAGCTGGCGAACGAATGTGAAAGCTCAAAAAGGAACACATAATATGTATTGGCCGGGATGATGACGGCACACCGAGCTCGCTCAAGGGCATGTAGCTGGCTCAATTTTTTCGCGTTTTTTTTTTTTCGGTTTTTTCTTTTTCGTTCAAAAAAATTGAGCCAGCTACGAGGCGCTGAGCCAGCAACGAGGCATTGAGCCAGCTACGTGGCACTGAGCCAGCAATGAGGGAATGGTGAATCTGTACTGTACGGGACCGATGGATTTTCCGATGCAGCCTTTGCAGTTCCAACAAATCAAATTATTGGTTATATAATTCTGGCACCATGTGAGATAAGATAGAAGGCTGGCAGTCTATACATATGTATACATATATAACCCCAACCGTATAATTATGGTCAATCTGAGGCAACACCAGTTTTCTTGAGGGAGGCGCGTACCCTTGAGCTGGAGGAAGATTGGGAAAAGTAACTTTCGAATTTCCTGATGTCCCCAATAGTTTATGCCCCCTTATTAAAGATCTTGAAACCGTGTCTTTTTATGTCTTGGATCATCGCGGATCATCGTGGATCTATTGATTTTGGCCACATGCAAGGTATTCAACAATGGCACGCAATGGAATGTAATTATTTCGGAGGACCCAAGACTTGGGAAAAACTTGGGATAATGTTCATAGATTCATATATGTCATATTGATAGCAACCAGCATAGCCATGATGTTACACATAATTTCAGATTGAAGTCTGCTACACATATCTTTGTTGAAAAATAACGCCAAGCGAGCCATTTGAAGTGGATGATTGGTGTGTATCATTTGAAGAAACGCACATTTTCGGGGGGTGAAAATGGAGGGAAAACTTTCCCACATGCATCGGCACATGCCCTGGTCCGCTGACCTCTCATCTCCTATGGATTTCAGGAGCTGTTTTGGCAAATGAAGGTGGAGTTTAACGGGTCCTTGAGATGCCTTGAGACATGGTCTGATTGGTGGTTTGGAACATGAATCTCATTGGGAATGCCGTCCTACATCCAATCTGGTTGGTGGTTTGGAACATTTTTTATTTTTCCATATATTGGGAATGTCATCATCCCAACTGACGAACTCATATTTTTCAGAGGGGTTGACACCACCAACCAGTGGTGTTTCAGCGTCTTCTTTGATGTCGTTTGTTTGTGGGATCCGAACTTTGAGCCAGAACTCATGATCTGCAGACGGTTCAGACGGTATGACCGGTATGAGAGAAAGATCACGACTGTCACTTAAAAAAGGGCTGAACCGGGTGACTGACCCGGATTTTTCATGATCCTTTTGCAGAAGCACATCCACAAACGACTGAAATTTTCCCGAAGGACACTGTCACACAGTGATTTGGTGTAAAGGGATATCTCCGAAGTTTCAGAACCCCCAGAATCGCAAAGAACATTTACCAAATATAGATTGATAGATTTATGGAAATCCCAATTTACCATATAGTCATATAGATTGATAGATTTTATAGAAATCCCAGAAATCCCATAGACGTTCTATGATCTTCTCATGAAGAGTCGTTGTTTTCCAGCCGAGAGCCTGTGGCTTTTTGGTGGGTTCTTTCCGCAGATGAACTCGGTGATGCCTGATGTGGTGACCCTGAAGACCATGCGCCACTTGGGCATCCGAGATCTCTCGAGGTTTCCGAAGTCATGGGGGCCCTGGGGGTACACGTAGTCCCCTCTGGTAAACTGTTACATAACTAGGGACAATTAGAATTTTTAATGGGTAAATCAAATATCAATGGCAATTGCCAATAGCTATGTTAAATGTTAGTCATTACCAGAGGGTATCATTCATCTACCTTTATTTTTATTTTTATTTTTTCATGAAATAAACCATCCACAACTTGGGGATCCCCCATTTATGGAAACATATGGACCCCCCCCGAGTTCAGCTGTAAATGGGGATTTTCCAGGGACATTTTGGAGATCAACAGGGAAGCCATTGGGTGGGGCTCTACCACACAATGCACCCCACGTTTATTGCGAAGTAGAATCTAAGTAGAAGTAGGGATGGAGTAGGCTAATCATGTAATCATTAACCATTAATAACCATTATTAACCATTATTAATCATTTAAGGGTGTAACACCATGTAACACCTGTAACTGGAGTGAAAAAATAGGGATACCCAGTGTCGTTTCTGTGGCGAAGATCAGACGATGATCCAAGGGTGGGCCTTGGGCCGGCAGCGTGTCAAGGACGGCTCGAGGATGCTGATGGTAAACTGGAATCCCTTAGGGAGGTGGCTGTGGATCCAAACCTGTGATATGTACGGTATATCAATGTATATTATGTATTATGGCGGGATCAGAATTCTACAGTATATCAACGTAGGTCTTCTTCTTGAAGATTAGGCTGAAAACTCAATCTAACGACGTGGTGTTTCTTCTCAAGGGTCAGTCTTTTAGGGGTTTTGTAGTTGATGCCCCCTCCTCCGTGCTCTAAGTGCCGTCAGAGCCCGGCTAGTGAGGGTGACCTTTGGTGCAACGCCTGCACCGCCTGGGAGGCATTAGGCAGGGAGCTCTGTGCCAACTGGGAACAGACTGGTGTCAGGATAATCGCGGCTGACTTGGTGATAAACGTCACCCGTCAGGTGAGGTCTCTGAGGTCTCTCAGTGCTGGACTGGCTAGTGAAGCTGGGCGGGCTCCCAGAGCTGGCACTGGCCGTGCTCAGCCTGCATCCCGTGCTTCGCACGCTGACCCCCTCCTAGGAGCACTAAGGTGGAACGAGGGGACACGGAGGAGGAGGACGAGTCAGACCTCCAAGAGGAGGAGGAAGAAGAGCCAGCGCAAGATCCACCGCAACACCCTGGAGCAGAGCCGAAGCGCAAACCGCCAGGACCAGGATCTGCTGGAGTGAGGGACAGGAGTCCACGTCGATCTGAGAGGACAAGATCTGCTGGCAAAAGCCGTGCAGACCGTCCACGACGATCCCGACGACGAGAACACCGAGACGATCGAGGTCACGAAAGACAGGTACTACCCGTCGAGGAGGCCGCAAACATCAACGCCTATACCGCCTGGCCAAAGATCCCAACAAGGTGGTGCCTCGCAAAGCAACTGCCGCTTGGTTGGAGCTGTCATCCATCGCCAGGGGTGGAGACGCGCTCTGCAAAGGAGATTAAGAGATGGCAGACGCCGAAGAAGGAGAGACTACTGCGATGGAAGATTTCAGAAGCTGGAGCGCATTGTCACCCACAAGGGGGCAGGTGCTGGAGGTGTATCTTCCGAGCACCGACATACAAGATCCCCGCGACGAGTGGGCTGCCTTTTTGATCCTCCAGGTTTCAAACAGGCTGGATGGGTCCGTGGTGCTCACCGTCTTTCATCTTGGGTGCCCCGACAAAGCTTTGGGGAAGAAGTTAGACGTCCGCTTCAACTTGACCGACTGCGGGATTCACCTCTGCCTGTCCTCCCCATGCGTGGATACTGGAGTAGAAGGGGACTCTCTTCCCGACACATACCTTCACGCTACCAAGGTGAGGCTATGGACTTTTGGGGGCTTCGCCGCAGTCCAGGATTACATCACAGCAGCACGAATGAAGGAGGCCGAAAAGAAGTTGAAGCCTGCTCGAACAGCTCCCCCTGCTGGCCCTCGCCGTGCACGGAAAGGAGCAGACGGGCCAGCGAAACCCCCAAAGGGAAAGGCTGCCAAGGCTGCTGCAGTGCCAAAGCGTGCAGCCGCGGACCCAAAGCTGACGCCGGCCGATCGCGAGGCCCTCAGGGAGAAGTTGCGGCAGACCCGCAAGAGGCTGCAAGAAGGCGACGCAAACCCAAAGAAGAAGAGACCAAGGGAGAGGGAGCGCCCCGAGTCGATATCCGACGAGGAGCTGAGCCGTGGGTACTCTCCGGAGGTTCCGACTCTGCAGCGGACGAGTTGGATCTGGAAACTGGAGCAGAGCTTCCCCCGGTGGAAGAGCTGGCTTTAGCCGAGCTCCCGGGCACGAGGAAGAAGAAGAGGAGAGATGGAGGCCGCTTGAACCGGCGCGAAAAGCAAAAGGATGCAAAAGGAGCTACTTCGAAGAGCTTGAGCGGGCAGCTCCTTTTGCGCGCTATAGCGGCGAATCAGTCTCAGAAGCAGAAACAGAAGAAGAAAGATCGTCAGAAGAAGACTCCAGTGAAGGAGCTTTCAACTGTGCTCGCGCAGATCCTTACCAAGTCGAAGGAGGATGCGAAAGCCCCGGAAGAAGAGCAGAGGAGAAAGAAGAAGAAGAGAAGGAGGTTGAAAGATGGGACGATCATCAGCTGCAGCGAGTCCTACGAGACTTCGAGCTATGCAGAAAGCGAGGACGAGGAGTCCGATGCCGACCTCGAAGCTCCGCTGAAGAAAAAGTCTCGAGACCGCCCCGGTTCAGTGCTGAACCTTCTGGTCGCGCACGTCCGGGAGCAGCTGGATCAGGGAGCCCTCACCAACCTGGCAGGTCCGAAAGAGGAGATGATGAAGGGCGTCAAGGTGATGTCCTACTTCAACCTGTCGGTGAAGGGAAGCTACCCTGGCCACTTGCGAGAGCTCAGGGAGATGCATCACTTGGCAGTCAGCATCGATCTGATGAGATCGGGCGACATCGCCAGAGCAGCCGATGCAATGTCGGCCCGGTTCATGGCCCTCCATCAATCATTGGTGGATGGAACATGGACCACAGCTCGGCACCTCGAGCTCTACCCGATGGAGGAGGCCTCGGCAGCGGGAGCAGCGGCGATCCTTGCTACACGCCGCCACGCGAAGCTGGTAGCCAAGGTTCAGGGCTACCCAAGCGGCTCCTGGAACAACTCAGGACCTCGCGCTGGCAAAGGAGGCCGAGGAAAAGGCGATTGGGGCTATGCAGATTCCCGCGGGGAGCAGAAAGGCGATGGAAAGGCAAAAGGAAAAGGAAAGAAGGGCAAAGGAAAGTGGGCAGCAAGCAACGCCCAACAAAGGAAGGATTGGGGCGCCGACAAGGAGAAGCCCGAAGAGAAACCAAAGAGCTGAGCGAGGGCAGGCTGGCTTTGGCCGTGCCCCCTCCTCCTCAGTTGTCCGAGATCCTCGCCGAGTGCAGTTCTCTTGAAAGAACTGGCTGCGCTCTGGCGTGGTTTCTATTGCACGTGAGCTGGCAATCCGCCGACGCTCGCAATTCATTGAATTTCCTCATGATGAACCACTCCGGCGGGTGGCTCCGGGCCAAGCAGAGGCGTGTGGCCCTACCTATCCGTGTGGGTGATCTGGCTGGGGTTGAATACAGTTTGAAGCAGGTATCGCTACTCGAAGCAGGCGAAGAGTTCTGCAGAGCACACGCTCAGGCATGCTGGTCCTACCTTGCATGCTACGCCTGTAACTTTCTTTGTGGCCAATTAGGGCCCTTGGCCGCTGGACAATGGACGGCGGCAGAAAGACAGGTAGCAGGTGCCGTAGGCCTTATGACCAAACGGTTTGCAGGCCATGGCCAAGGTAGTGCTGTGGACGTGCCAGCGATAGAAAAAGACCTTAAGCTGGCGCGAGTTGATTATTCTGGGGAAGAGGTAGGAACATGCCACAAGCTTAGTCTCCGACAAATTGTTCCTGCCCTTCCTCCTCCCCCTCAGCATGGTGGGTCTATTGATTTAATGGGTTTTCTCTCTGTCACCACCCAAAAATTTTTGAGAAACCCCCAACTGTGCATTTTGCCGGATACTGGGCAGCCACTTCCAAAATTACAGGGTCGGATTCATGTTGAAAAGGGTGAACTGGATGGAGTGGCTGACGCATTAGTACGTTGTGGAGTATGCGATTGGACGCCAAAATCAGAAGTTCTGCATTATAGAGGTGAAGCCGTGCTAAACGGGCTTTTTGGGGTCCCAAAATCCAGCGTTATTTCTTCCGGTGAACCGGTCCTGAGAGTGATCATGAATCTTGTGGCTTCAAACAGCGTGATGTTACAATTACAAGGTGCAACTGGTAATCTTCCCAGCATTACTTCATGGTTGTCAACGGTGTTGGATGGTTCAGAGCAAATCAAGATTTGGCAATCAGATATGTCCAATGCTTTCTATCTATTTAGACTGCCTCCCCAATGGAAAAGTTTTCTCTCCTTTAACGTAGTACGTTCTGGTAAAGCCCTGGGGATGATGGATGACATTGATTATGTCTTGTCCTGTTGCGTGCTGCCGATGGGATGGCTCTCCTCCGTGGCAATAATGCAAGAGATTAGTGAGAATTTACTACTCTTGCATTCGTTGCCCAGAGAAGCTCAAATTGCACGGCAGTCGTCACTGCCACTGTGGATGGTAGGCCTGCTGAAGGAGTCTAAAAAGTCAGAAAGAGCATGGTGGCACGTCTATTTGGACAACTATGCAGGAGGCCAGATAGTGGGGCCGAGTGAGGAAAGTCTGGAAGGCAATCGACTGCATGAACTTGCTGAACGAGCATGGAAAGAGGCTCATGTAATTTCATCAGAGAAAAAGCGAAAACATGGGGTGTTGGAAGCTGAAGAACTTGGTGCCATGATCAATGGGTCTGATCAGACTATGGGTGCCTCCCCAGCACGCATGTTAAGACTGGTACACGCAACGCTTTGGGTTTTGGGGAGCACACACCTTTCTAAGAAGAAAGTACAAGTACTGGCTGGTAGATGGGTACACCTTCTGCAGTTTAGACGAGCTGGCATGAGTTTTCTGGAAGCAACTTGGGAGTATACAGGCACGACAAAGTTCAACAAAGAGCTCGTCATAAAAGTCAGAAGAGAACTGTGGTGCTGTTTATGTGCCCTGCCTCTTCTACACACCAACTTAGGGGCTGCAATCTCGAATGTTGCGACGGCATCTGATGCTTCAAGCACTGGTGGGGCAGTTGGGATCGCCCGAAACTTGAGTGCCTGCGGAAAAGAATTTGTAGAAGCATCTCTCCGGTCTCAACACTTCTCCTCAGTAATCCCTGTTTTGGTTCTCTCCCTCTTCAATGGTATCGGGGGAGCTTTCCGTTGTTATGACGTGTTGGGACTATCCCCGATGGCCATGGTGAGTTTCGAAATTAACAGCGAAGCAAACAGGATTTGCAGCCGCCGATGGCCTCAGTCAGAACAGCACGGAGACGTCAAAACCCTGTCAAAGGAGATGGTGAGAAGCTGGATATTGAAGCACGTGGGACTGCAAGAAATTCATATTTGGGCGGGTTTCCCTTGTACGGATTTAACAGCAGTTGAGGCTTTTCGTGAAGGTTTGTCAGGATCCCAATCAAAACTGTTCT